GTAAGAGTGTATGTGTCTAGAGAGAACAACAAAGAAGTATTCTTGCTCTTAGATATTTAATAAGTTATCACGTTGGTCGTTACACGCTTAATGTTGGGTTTAATTATTATTATTTTTAATGTTTGCAGATGTCTAGATGTAACAATAAAAAAGTACCTTTAATACCTTATGTAGGTTGTAACACACTCAGTGTTGGGCATAACCTAATAATTTAGGGATGAGTGACCATGTTTAGAACTAACAAAAAGTACGTTTTTCTGCTCTGTAACCTGTACCAAGCTTTCATGTCAGTCGTTAAACTCTTCGTGTTGGGACTAAATTACTATTGTTTTTGTATATTGATACATGTGTAGATGTATCAACAAACACGTATTGTGTGCACTTAACCCTGTAAAAAATTGTTTTGTCGGTCGTTACACACTCATTGTTGGGCATTAGCTACTATTTGTGTGCTTGTGTGTACGTGTCTACATTGTTAGTTATAGTTAGTTATAGTAGAGGTTTTACGGCGCTCGCACCTGCATAAGGTCATATGAGCGCCAGAAGATTAGAGGTGTTACAAGGGAGTAACAAACATAAAAAAGAAGAAGGGGAGATAAGGACGACTGATGTTTGATAGGAAAGAAGGAGAAAACCACACCAGAGCACCCGCCAACCACCCACTATCTACATTGTAACAAAAACACGAATTTCTTCTCTTTACAGTTTAATAAGTTGTCATGTTATGTTGGTGTTACACACTCAGTTTTGGACATAATATATTTCAATTTTTTGGATGTGTGATCGTGTCTAGATGTAACAAGAAACAAGTATTTGTGTTTTTTAACCTTTAATAAGTTGGGGGTTTTAAGTTTTAGTAGAAGTTTTACGGCGCTCGCAATTATATAAGGCCATATGAGCCCCAGAAGATTAGAGGCGTTACAAAAGAGTAACAAACATAAAAAAGAAGAAGGGGAGATAAGGACGATATATGTTTGATAGGACAGAAGAAGCAAACCACACCAGAGCACCCTCCAACCACCCTCTAATAAGTGGTCACGTCAGTCATTATACCCTGAGTGTTGGGCACAATCTACTTTTCTTTGTTATGTGTGTACATCTGTATATGTACGAACAAACATTATATTTGTATTTTTTCACACAAAAACGATACAAACACAGTACATACTCGCCAACAGACGAACATACACAGACATAGATACAGACAGACAGACAGACAGACAGACAGACAGACAGACAGACAGACAGACAGACA